TTCATGAGCAGACATCCTTACCTAAAGTTGGTGGGCAATAGAGTCAACTAGTCGGCTCCGTACCGTACCAACGTTTAGAAGGGTATGGGTTTGTCCTTTGTATGCATAAGGACAAGACAACAACAATCATGCTAAGCAAGCTTCCTTTGATCGCTGAACGCTGGAATAACCGGGAGGTCTCTTCAGCATTCGCTGAGGTTTGAGCAGTTTTCACACATATGTAGATAGACTTGTAATCACTGAGTAGCGCTTCAGATCACGTACTTGCCAGTCTCTAATCTTCAGTTTCAGTCTTCGACATTAACCTAATGTTCTTTGGTGTGAGTGTTGTCTTCTTGAAGTATCGCTGTCTCTGATAGAATTACAATGCAAGTTCTTCAGCGATCACTGAACAGGCTCAGTGATGATCGCTGGAACTGAAAAGACAGAAACATAAATACAACGTATAAGTGAAAAAGGATTATCATCAAATCACTGAGAGAGAGGATCAACAAGAGTCGATACCTTATAATTGCATACTGACGTTTTCATCTCAGTTGGTAAACCTTTAAGGTAGGCTTTGACTTTGGACTTCTTATCCGAGGTTAGATGCCCCACGAGGTCAAGCTTCTCAATGAACAATCTTGAGTAGTCGACCACAGTTTTATCTCCCTTCTTGAGAGCCTGGAATTTGTTCTTGATCGATCCAATGCCCTCTCATTGCAGTACTTGTCTAAATTTTTTCCCTTAAAGACCTCCCAAGTCAAGAGTGGATGACGGTTGCTCCAAAGGCGGACTTGGTGACATTCCACCATCTAAGGGCCTGACCCCTTAGCATCTGTTTCACTTTGCTCGCCACAATCACTTGAATCAAAAGCCTGTTTGATCTCTTGAATCCAATTTATGCATGCGACTGGATTGGTAGTTCTTAAGAACCTGGGTGGTTTGCTACATAATAAAGTCTTGTATGAACAAACTTTTTCTCCTCGCCTCACACTGACAACTTGTTCCTCGGTACCAACGACATTTGCAACACCGCCTTAACCACCTACAACGTTTTCTTCAATAGTCTCATGCCTTCGATTACTGTTTTCTAGCATTTTCATGAACCTTTCTTCTCGTCTATCCATCACTGAGTTCATTGCTTGTAGAATATTGGCCATCATTGCAGATTGGAGGATCAAATTACTGAACAACTGGGCACCTGTGTTCAAGTTGTCTGTGGCACAACATCAATCCTACCCCTTAACATTGGAGGAATTGGGGAACTTGTATGTTATCGGCTTACCTTGGTGGTTCTCGAGCCGTCACACTCGCATCATTACTGTCATCTTGAGTTCCTTGTCGACTTTGTGTGTCTACCATGCTGAACTGTCATACACATGGCAAAAATCATACCGGTTAAATCTATATAAGATTAACAATTGGCACATACTATGACATATAATAATAATAATAATAATAATAATAATAATAATAATAATAATAATAATAATAATAATAATAATAATAATATGCTAAATAATAATAGTAATTCAAATATGTACACATGACAATAAAATTCGTAATAATATTGGCCATAATGATATTGTGAACATATTTCACATGATAATTTTTGATACTATCACTATAAATCTTAATAAATGTATTTCTGTCAAGTCTTAGGACATCTCTTCCTAAGATTCTAGCCAAATCCTCACCAATCGATAATTAAATTGATCAGTTTAAGTTTAGATATTCTATAATCATACCTAGTTCTTTTAAAATATAAGTCTGATACCAACTTGTAACACCCTAAAATTTTAAAGCGAGAAATATCTTTCATACAACTCGAAATTTCCATAAATATAAAACAGTTTAAATCTTTGAAGGAAACTTCACTAACCAAGCACAAAATCAAGAATTAAAACCTAAATAAGAACCCAATAATCTAATCTCCCTAGATTGTAGTCTGAGTGTTACTATATCACCAAAAATTCAACTTCCACTCAAGTGCTTCCCAAAGAAATCTCTACTCTTGATGCTTCTAGCAGCACCAACCAAGTCCCTTAGGCGATCTTTGATCCACAGGAAAATCACATAATCTAAAACAAGTGTTAAACTTGACGCCTAGTGAGATCACACACAAAAATAACTCTTAAAGTAGATAATGGAAATAAATTAAAATGTTACCCGGTCCGCAATAGTGGTACAATACCGTGTACCACAACAAGTTGTCCCAACTTGGATGTTATACACAAGAAACATCTCTCGATGACGGGGCAGACCCGTTTCCATCAAGGTGGAGGGAACAAAAAAGTACCCCTAGTGTCTACTCCAAAGAGTTACACCTCAAGGACTTTAGTGCCTACCCATTCCTCTAGCCAAGTTTCACCTCAAGAATCCAATGGATCTTTGGGTTTAAATCCATCTGGTTTCACTTTTTAACAATAAAAAGACGGTTAGTGGAGCTAATTTTTGTTTAAAATGCTCTCTTAAGTCCTTGAATCCGTCTACAAACAATAAAACACCACTTCCCGTCCGACTTGCATGTGTTAAACAAAAGTTAGCTCCTCTTTGTTGTTAAAGTGAAACCACATGGATCCTTCGATGAATTTTAGGGTTTAAGGACCAAAAACCAGAAGGACAAATTTTGTAATTTACCTTATACTAGTTGTGTACCCGCGCAATGCGGCGGGAGCCATGAATTTTAACGATTTTGAAGTTTCACTGGTTTTATAAGATAAGATTTAACGATGATATATGTTACACTTGTCTTTACATATTAATACAATTTGAATAAATAAGAGTTATGGTTCCAATTACAGACTATCAATGAAAAAAATTGTATGACAGTTTAAAATCCAATATA